GTTATTTATATCCCCTTCGCGGCACTTTTAACGCCGCGAACCCTCGTACGCTTCGCGCCTTAGATTACCATTGAGGTGTGCATTTCTATTTCAGGAACCTACACTAAACAAGTACTAACTAAGGCGCGAAGCGTATTTTGTCTCTTAAGAAAATACTTAAAAAAAATAACAAAAATGACAAAGATAAAACGATTAGCTTATGGTTTAGTAGATTTTTTGAATTTTTTAGAAAGTAATGAAGAAATAAATCGTTTCAAACAGGATTATAAAGTAAATATAGAATATACAGGTTATTGTGAGTGGAATGGACATTTTGATACAGAAGATAATGAGAATAATTATGAGCTTAAACGTCTTATGGGCATTACTGACACTCAAATACTGGTTTTAGATTCTAATAAAGAAGTTCAAACAGAAAATCCTTTATCGTTTATTGACAATATTCTAATAAAAGGGGATCAGTCGATAGACTTAATGACTATGGGAGTAATTATATACATATATCCTTTTCGGGATGATTTTTTAGAAAATAGATCTTTACTTTCAAGAAAAGAACTTTTGATTGATATGTTGCTTAGTTACGCTAAGAAGACTTGGTGTGAAGACAGATCATTTTTAAATATACAAAGAGATCCATATACTCATACTTTTACAATGAAATTAGAATCTAATTATGTCCCAGATAAACTAAAATAAACTAGAGTAAAGTAAAATTTTGCTTGCGAACCCAAGCGCCTTTCACCCAGAAATACCCGCCAAGCAGGCCAAGCGCGTTTCGCGCACTAATAGAGCGAGCTATTTATGCGCCCCACAGTTCAAGCGCGTTTTGCACATAAATACTTCCTAAATATAGCAAGTCTTGCAAAGATCGGGGATACTCTTTCTGATTACAAACCGTATAACACGCCGACTGGTAAGTTCGCGCGTCTTGCGGGTATTCTTTTCTTTCTTCCTAGTGGTCAACTTTTTTTGGTTAAATTTATTGACTAGTTAACTATCTTTACCTACTTAGTGGTGATTAAATGTCCTAATTTAGTTGACTACTTGATATAGTGTATGCTAGTTCTATATAGAATTTCATTTGTACTTGACTCCTTGTGTGCTAATCTCATATAAGTTTATATTACTTTATGGTTAACTTCGCACGTCTCCTTAAAACCTTCTCCTTAAAACCTTCTCCTTAAAACCTTTGCTTGCTTCGCAAACTTCGCACGTCTCTCTCCTTAAAACCTTTCCTTGCTTCGCAAGCGGTGGTCAAGGTGGGGATGGGATGCTTGCGAAGCACCTTTTTTGAAGTAAAATAAATCATAGAAAACATAAAACACATGACAAAATCGCCGAGTTTATTAGAATATATACTTGAATCGTACATGCTTGCAACTAAGAAGAACTCGCTTTACCTGATAGATGTAGCTTCAGCTAAATTAATTATACAAAGGACAACGAATGGTCAAATTTGTATAGAAGATGTATGTAAAAACGCGGTAGTAAATAATCCGATTACTATAGAAGATGTATGGGCCTTGCTAGAACGAGCCGAAATAACCGGCTTAAGCAATATTTGTATTTATTGTAGCAAAGAGGTCTCAGTTTTATTGAAGACCAAGGAACACAATTTAACTATAAAGATATTGGGATTAAACGAAAAGAAATTCTTGGCATCTAGTGGGTTGGATCCAAATAACATAAGGAGCCATTTCCGCGTCTGCCTAGCAAAATACAGGAAAGCCGAGAACCCAGTTTTAAATATCAAAAATTAAAAAAAAAATTCATTAGGTAAATTCACTAACAAACTTAGTGATGAACAATTAGTAGAATACGTTAAGTTTGCATTTGGGCCTGATAATCCTTTGATACTCCCTAAAGACGAATATTCGGAAGTAGTCGAAGGGACACTTGTCTCCTTTGAGGTCAATAAACAAGTGAATCTTGAGGTCATTGAAAATATGAATGATAACAATTCAGTAAGTAGAGAAGAGTTTGATAGCAAAGCCATTAATGAATTCACGGAAAATAATGCCGAATTATTCGGTGAGTTGAAGGTTGAGGAGGTTAAAGAGGTTCAAGAACTAAAAAAAAAAAATGACGCACTTGTCTCTCAAGATGAACTGCTTTGTAGACAAAACGCTCAATTATTGGAGAAATTAAATTCTTTTGAAAAGCGCGAAGGAGAACGTCAAGCAAAAGAGCAGATTGCGCAGCAACGCAAGGAAAAGCGACAAAAGGTTAATAAGTTACCAGCGAGAGACCTTTTAACCTACAAAGAGTTCCATAAAATTTTGGACTTGGTAGACGAGTTCGCTTTCGCGCAAACAACCAAGTGTCGTATACGCATTGCCTTCATATTACTTTACTTCTCTGGTTTGCGTATTTCAAATCTTTTAATTATGCGCCGATCTAATATAGAAGATCTAGTGGAGTCAGGCGAAACATGCATAGGAAAAGAAGTTGGAAAAGAACAACTCGTGTATATTGGCTCGCAGGGCAGAGATATGCTCAAGTTGTACGCATCTGATATAGAAAATAGAAAATCAGAGGCGCAGCCTGTGCGCGATGGCAGCGCATTTTTCTTTGCCGGAATAAAAAATAATACAAAACCTCTTTGCAAGCGTATCTTTGTCCAACAAGCTAATGATGTTTTTTACAAGGCTTCACAAGTTTTGGGCAAAAATCTTCGTTCCCATAGCTTTCGTAAAACATTTATTACTGATTTGCTCGAAAGCAATGTGCCTATGGAAAAGGCAAAGGATATTATTGGGCATCGAGATATAGGTACAACTGCAGTATATCGTAAGAATGATTTGAGCTTGGAAGAGCTTAAAAGACATATAGCTTTGCTCAACAAAACTCGGGGCATCGAAGTGCTCGAGTCTAACGAGCAGGTTGCGCAGCAACGAAACCGAGCTGTTTAGTAGCTTTACTGGGATCGCAAGCGTATCTCGCTTGCTTTGTAGTTTGCACACAGTAGCATCGCAAGCGTTGCTTGCTTTGTAGTTCGCATATGGTAGCATCGCAAGCGTTTATCGCTTGCTTTCTTTATAGTTCGCGCACAAGAGTCTCGCAAGCGTATCTCGCTTGCTTTGTGTTTCGCTCACGGTAGTTTCGCAAGCTTGGCTTGCTTTGTGTTTCGCTCACGGTAGTCTCGCAAGCTTTGCTTGCTTGCTTTATAGCGCATAGCAGCATTGCAAGCGAGAAAGGCTTGCTTTATAGCGCATAGCAGCATTGCAAGCGTTTCTCGCTTGTTCGCTTTCCTGGCATCGCACCCAGGAGCATTGCAAGCGTTTCTCGCTTGTTCGCTTACCTGTCATCGCAAGCGTATCTCGCTCGCTTGCTTTGTGGTCCGCATGCGGTAGCATCGCAAGCTTTGCTTGCTTTGCAGTTCGCACCAGTAGTTTTGCAAGCTTCGCTTGTTCGTTTTGCTGGGATCGCAAGCGTTTCTTGCTTGCAATGTGGTCCGCCTACAGAAGCATCGCAAGCGTTTCTCGCTTGCTCGGTTTAGTAGCTGTCATCGCAAGCGTTTCTCGCTTGCTCGCCTCGCTTTCCTGTCATCGCAAGCGTATCTCGCTTGCAATGTGGTCCGCCCACGCTCGCACTTCTCGCAAGTGAAGATCGCTCGGCGATCCGCGCCTATATTCCGCGCATAGCAGCATCGCAAGCTTTGGTTGGTTTGCTTGGTTGTTTGTCTGGTTTGGTTGCATTGCAAGCCAAGCCTGCCTTTCCCCTTTGTTGGCTTTCTTGGCTTGTTTTGGTTTCTTCGCTTGTTTCGCAAGCTGGTTCGTTCCGTGACTTTCGCAAGCTTCTGACCTAAAGCTGCCTAGTTTACTTTGCTTGCTTCGCAAGTTTGCAAAGGTTTGCTTACTGGCATGCTTCGTTTGAGAGGTTGTACCTAGAGTAAAGCTGGGTTGCATGTTTGCACCTAAAGATGTGTCGGCTTTGCCAGCCAAACGTTGCTTTTTCCTGCTTGTTTTGGTTACTTTGCTTGCAAAGTCTTCTTATCCTCCTTTGTTTGCAAGCTTTGCTTGGTTTGTAATCCGAGAGCATGTCAAGGTTGGCTTGGTTTGCAAGCGAAGTTACTTTGTTTGCAAGCCAAGGAAGGTAGCATTGTTTGCAAGCTTTGCTTGCTTTTTTTAACTTCTTACTTTTTTGTTTGCAAGCTTTGCTTGCTTGATAAAAATGTTTAATTTTTTAATGTCACACTCTTTTTTTTATGTTTTCCATCATTTTTTTTGGAATTGGGAAAAGGTGAGCAAATGTTTTTTCCTGTGGACTTTGTATATAGAAGGGAAGGTCACAAAATCTGTATTTTGTGAACAAAAAGTTAACTTAACAGAACCCGCAAGCTTGTGAATTTTTGTTTTTATTTCCTTTGTTTGCAAGCTTGGCTTGCTTTGTGTTTCGCTCACGGTAGTTTCGCAAGCTTGGCTTGCTTTGTGTTTCGCTTACGGTAGTTTCGCAAGCTTTGCTTGCTTTGTAGCGCATAGCAGCATCGCAAGGTTGGTTGTTTGGTTGGCTTGCTTTGTGTTTCGCACACAGGAGCATCGCAAGCTTTGCTTGCTTTATAGTTCGCTTGCTTCGCAAGCTGTTATCAGAAGCTTTGGTTGCTTGCTTGGCGGCGTTCGGTTTTGCAAGCTTAACTTACACTTACTTTGCAAGCTTTGCTTGCTTTGCAAACTGTTTCAGCTTGGTTGTGCGCGATAGACCCAAGCAGGTTGGTTGGTTTGCAAGGTAAGGTGTAGTTGCGTAGTTAAGCTCGGTTTCAAGCTTACCTTGCGATTAGTACGAAGTGCGAAGCATTACTTAGGAAAGTAAAACCTCGCGCGTTGCTTATTAACTTTCTTTCAGGCGGCATTAGGCGCGAACTATTTGGTGTTTCGTAAGTAATGCAATGCTTCGCGCGCATTTATTTAGAAGCTTGCTGCCGAAATAGAACTCGTGCGTTCGTTTACGCTTTTTCTTCCCTTTGTTATAAATGGTTCGCGAGGTTTTGTTGACTAGTAGCGTGCCTGCCCCAGCGGGACACGCACTACAATCAGGAACGGGACTTACTAGTAGTAGCCTGCCTGCTCCAACGGGACTTACTACTAGTAGCGTGCCTGTCCCAACGGGACAAGCAGAACCACTAATACAAACCCCTCAACTGTTGTCCTTTTACGAGAAAAACCTTGCCTCACTGGAGATTCGGCTTAGGGATTTTGTCCGTGAACAGCATGAAAGTGAAAAAGCTTATGATCTTAAGTTGAAAGATTACCATAAAGCAATGGAGGAGTTAAGTGCCGATCCTAATAATGAGGCGTTGCAAGCAAAAGCTTGTAATGCTTATGGTGTAACACTTATCTATCATGGGCGATTGGAAGAAGCTAAGATGGGTCAAGCCATTGTGGCGGGTAGAATAGAAGACTGGCACTACATTCGTGCTTGTCATATACAATCTGGGATAGCTGCACCTACACCGGTTAATGTTTTTGATGAAATAGTAGAACAGGGTGGTTCTCAGGCACAAGGAAACGTCGTTTCTAGGGGCCCAAGCAGAGAATCAAGTCCTGACAGAGGCCAACTCGCTATGAAGGATCATTTGCATGAAGAAAGTTCTTCCCTCCCAAATGAGAGAGACTTTCCCTTGTTCGCGCGGACATCTTCTTTGATGTCCTTTGAACAACCTTCAACTTCTTCGCTGCTATCACAACCAAGAGAGCCAGTGGTTTCATCTATACTTGCTACACAAGCATCAGCACAACCCTTGCCTTCAGTCCCAGCTGTCAGGTCTCTGGCTAGTGCAGAGAATATGATCTTTAATGCCGACCTTGAAGTACTTAGAGAAGTGTTGCCCGGGTTAAATAAACAGGAAGTAGCAACCCTTTTCGTAGACAGCGGGGGTTGGGACAAGAGGAAGTTATTGGCTCTGTGCAATCAGATAAAGTTTTTAAAAGAACGAAGGGCGGATTTGAGTACTTCGTCACTGGGGGGAGAATCGACTGCGTTCAACCAAGAAATGGAAATTGAAGCAATACAGCAAGGAATTAAGCTTAAAAAGATTCTAGAAGACGGTTGGCTACCAAAGGGGACAAAGGTCGACCACGAAGTTACAAATTTTTTACTTAACTGTCTTGGTGTAATAGATTGTCAAGAAACACCAGCTTTTGAGCCCGCCTTAAATGTAATACGCCCTATCGTAGAGTCAGAATTATCAACTAAAGAAAGAAAAGAGACTTGGTTAAATTTTGTAAGCAATTTGGTTATAAGGGCCTTAAATGAATAAAAAACAAAAAGTGTTGTTAATTTGTTTTGCTATATTTATTTTCAATATATTATTAAATATATATTGGTTATTTCAACTTGATGGCGCAATCGAAGTACAATTTACGTTGTCTCCACTCAATACTGAGCAAACCTTGGTATCACAACCTACACTGCAAGTTCCGCTGTTACTCACCATGAGTACTTTAGTGATAAGTTACTTTGTTCTAAAATATTTGCTACAAATTCCCGAGAAGAAGTATACACTTCTACCAGAAGAACAATTCCATAGAAATATATTAAATACCAGCGACTTGCCTTGGAAAGGCCCGCTTTTTACGAAAGAGTTTTATGACTTTTGCCAACGTCAATGCTGCGACCCTTTTGAACCAGGGCGTTTAGAGGCAAATCACAATACACTCTAACCAGAGTCTATCGGGAGGCATTTACGATCTGTTGAGGGGAAACCTAAGCCCAGAAAGATTAATCTTTTCCTATTTACGAGCTCAGGAGGGGCACAGGCGCGGCCTTTCTTCTCTACTCAATCTTTGGTGGATATCACCAAGGGGCGCCGAATATATACTTAGTTTAGAATTACTAGACCATTTTAAAGATGTAGCAGATTTGGAAAAATGCGCCAAACTCTCCTTGCATTATTATTTAGATCGACTACGCATTTTATAAAATTATAAACATTTTTTTGAGTATGAGAAGAAAAGAATCAAAATTAGTTCGTTTTAATACCGCACAAGCTAATAGATCAGCATTTATTCACTATTTTCTTTTTGGCTTTTTGCACTCTTTGGGAAATTTGACATCTTCTTTCCAAAGCAAAGAGTTGTTTGTTATAGAATTTAAATTCACATTCGACCTTGGTCTTCGTAAAATGAAGAGCTCAACTCCGATAGATACGAAAAGCCCTGGACGACGTGTCTTTCGATATTCTGTAAGTTCTGAAGTGGAGGACAATGTGAAAGAAACCAAGAACGAAATAGCCCAATTGATTTCAGCAAACTATCATTTTACCAAAATAAAAGTTAAAGGACATTTCCTAGTTAAGCTGGCTGATAAAAACCAAACCTTGTATTCTAAAGCGGTAGTTGCTGCTTTAGCTGAAAAAGAGATTTCATGCCTTAACTCGTTAAGTTCTTGGAACTCGCAGATCTATTTACCGTCGTCCGACTTGAAAATTGACTTTCCATCTAAGTTCTCCGAGAAGTAATGAATTAAGTAATAAGGATTTTTTGATTTATTATTAAATGTAAGTACATGTTAAAGAGAATTCAAGGCATGCCGCGATATGGCTCGCGGCATATTACATTTAGTTTTACTTTGGCAAGGAGTTTAAGATCCACTTCCTAGATTCTTTCTTATAACGTAAGTTGTAGGATACAACAGCCTACAAGACGTATAAACTATTGCGAAGGACAAGGCCTACAAGGCTAGTCCCCCCGTAAGTAAGCAAAGCATTCGAAGGAGCAAAGCTTATAAACAGGTTCCTTTGGAACGAGACAAGACAGCTAAGATGTTATGCACGAGCGTGCTTCTTTGGGTTTTAGTAAGCAAGAACTTGCGATCGCAAACGAGCAAGCAAGCTTGCCTTAGTTTCTAAGCTAGAAGCCTCGAAGAAACAATATGCGAAAGAATAAAGCTTGCGAAACAAGCAAAGCAAGGAGGAGAACCCGTGTATAAGAAAACTTATACACGTACTGGTCATCGTCACTTAATTGATTGACCACCTTCCAGGTAAAAGAAAGGGGGACGAAGGTATGTAAAATGTTCCGTGACCTCCGGTGTGAGTAAGCAAAGCTTGTGAAACAGATCAAGCTTGCAAAGCAAGCGAACAAGCAAAACTTTCGCGTGAGCTAGCAAAGCTTGCCAAACACTTAAAGTCTTTCTTGCTCGAAGGTTTCGAAGCGATATCATCAGCAGATCGAAGTAGATTTACTTCTCACTCATGGTAAACTATCGGTCGAAACCTAACCACCGTAGAAAAAAGGGGTATCAGTCACTATCTGTATGTTAATTGACCACCACCTTAAAGAAAAAGAATTAATTATGACAACACAACAGAATTTTCATTTACAAGGAGAGTTGCCCCATGAATTCGATACAGCGCTAACTGAAACTAGCCATCAACAACCTATTCTTATTACGGCCTTGATAATTCAAAAAATGACAAGAACGTCCAGATATATAGGAACGAGGTTACAGTCAAACACGTAACCAACCAATTGGCCTGAATACTTCGCTAACTGGAAAAAAGGTCAAGAGGAACAATTCGAACACGCAAAACAAGAAAGAGCTGCCCTTTATCGGCAAAACCAGGAGCTAATACATAAAATTGACTTGCAAAGCACTCTCTTAAGTGATCAGCAACACCAGATTGAACAACTTATAGATGAGTTAAACCAAAGGCTTGACAAGGAAAGAATTATAGAACAGAGAAGAGCAAAAAGGAAGGCTGCTAAAAACCAGCCACCGAGAGACGCCATTACACTTTTGGGTTACAAAACACATGTTCTGTAACAAAAAACCCACATACAACTTCTACGTAGTTTTCACAAAAGTTCCAAGGCTCGCAGAACTTATTTTTTCTTAAATATTTCATTTACTTTTACGAATTCCATTATTTTTACCAGGGAAAAAGTCTTTTCTTACTCGCACATCTGGAAGAAAAGGGAACGAAACAAGATAACAAAAGACTTATTATCCCCTACTGGTCAATTACTACTCAAAAGGTTGACCAGCGTCTGTACGAGAAACTAAACTTCGTTGTTGTTGTTGTCTTAATAAAGGGCATGTTCCTTTATTGAGGGGGTGGGAGAAGGCACTAATCGATAAAATCAATCACAAAGCCATTTGTTGAATGAATTGCTAAACATGCAACGCCAGCAAGCACGAAAAGAAGCCTTGTGTATTCAACGCAAATTTAAAGGAAACGCGCCAACGCTAATAAAAGAACGCCCAGAGACACTATAGCCCCAAGCTAATTCCAAGAGTTAATAACTTCTATTCAATCCAAAGGCGGCCATTTATGGCCGCAAGAATTCAACTCGCTTTTACTTTATTCTATTTGACTTGACTAAGGGCCCCTGCCCCTACGGGGCGACCTTCTCAATAAGGAATTTCGAGAACTTATAGAGAAGCAATCCACTCGTATACATAGTTGAGTCCGTTCGTCAGAATTAGAAAAATCTTTATTAGTTGACAAGCTAAACAATGGCTTAATGCTATAGAAAGATCGATTCAGCTATTGACTGCCAATAAAGAAAGCCAAGATTATCTCTTCTACAATAAAAAAAGCGTGTCATTACTTTACTAGAGAAAGATTTAACCTGCGAACTAAATTACTAAAACAATACACCAGCGACACGGGGGAACAAATTAAGACGCATTCATTTTGAATTACTTTAATCACAGAACTAATGCAAACTTTGCCAATTCAAGATATAAAAAAATCATTGGACATAAAGTAGAACAACTTATCTTTAGTTTAAAAACTTTGTAGCCGAACGATTCCATTACGATGCGATGCAGGACGTCTTTAAAAGGTTCGCCAGAAATAAACTCGATGACAATACAGCTATTATTCAGCAACATCAGGCACAACAGTTATTAAAATAACCAAACTGCGGATCCGGTTCGTGCTGACGCCCTTTTGGAGGACGGAACAAGAGTTTTGTGATCTTAAAAAAATTAAAAATCTTTAAAAACGGACCGGAGTCTTGCATTTTTATGCGCGAAGCAAACCTGCTAGAACGTTATTGTGCAACACATAAATGTTTCGCAGAAAGCGAAGCTTTTAAAAAGAAAGAAAATTGTAAGCCTTTCGTAATCTTTTTATGTGGTCTTTTGTATTTTATTAACCACCTAAAGGCTCGCAGAGTAGGTTGGATACTTTTTTCTTGAGGTTGCCGAAAGGCAACCCGAATAATGTCGCTTGCTCGCTTTGCTTGCGCGTTTGATTGAACCACGTTATTCACTATTTAAGCATACAAGAACAAGACCAAGAAAAGAAAAATGAAACTCAACTTAATCATTCTAAGATTATGTGTTAATGAGATTAGGCTCAATTTGGTTACAATTGCAATAACTTTTTGTTTATTCTTTTTTTTTCTTATAACAATACCCCTTTTTATTGGGTTATGGCAAGAATTGTTGTTTCAATTTCATTTAGGGATTCTCTGGACCTGTATTTTGTTCTCTTTTCTTACTGAAAGGTTTTTCAAAATGGATCTGCAAGACGGTACACTGGAGTTTTATTTCCTTAGTAGTTTTCCCTTAAAACCAATATTCTTCTCTAAATTGCTTGGTTATTGGCTACTAAAAATCACTGGTATTTTGTGCAGTTATCCATTGTTAGCTTTTTTTTATCGTTTCACCCCTTCACCCATAACTTGTTTTACATTGATTTTAGGTAGTTTATTATTTATGCTTATTTGCGGGATCCATTCATGTTTAACTTTATCGATTAATGGAGAACATTGGAATAGCCTACACTATTTGACAACATTACCTACGCTTTTGCCTTTAATACTTTTATGTACGTATATTCAAACAGATAACTTTCATTTATTGTTTTTAATTGGTTATTTAGGCTTGTTTTTCTTAATTTATTCTATAATTGTATCGATTACATTGCGAAATATTCTGAGTCAATAGATCTAGTTTTATGGAAAGATTCACTCTGGCGGGCCTTTAGGTGGGATACTTTTTTCATGCTTTTTTTGCTTTGCACCGGAGAAGACTAGGCTTCTACCTGCTTTGATTTAAGTTGCAAAAAAAAGTTAAAGTGGGCTTTAAAAAAAAAGTAACTGAAAGACATGCTTTCTTAAATTAAGCACTTAATTCTACTGCTGTTCGCTGCGCGCCTAACGTGCGCAGCATTGAGCTTTAAAGCAAGTTTTTAACGTTTCGAAGAAAGGTCGCTTCGTCAGAAGCGAAGTACTCCTAGCGGAGCCTTAGTTCGAAAGGTTGCCTCAGGTTCGAAGAACGACCTTTCGCCGGAGCCTTCTTTCAAAACCTCCTTAGCGGAGCCTTTAATGCATGCGCGAAGCAACCCCCAAAAGCTGCGCACGTAAGACTCGTTAGAGTCAAGTGATTATGTGCAAAGCACTTGCATTATTGTGGCGCGAAACACACTCAATAGCGCATAATAATGCATGTCGCTTGCGAAAGATAAGATGCGTTAAGCACTTGGTTTGTGTCCGTAGCTTTCTTGTCTTAATTTGCTCAAAACACCCATTTAAGTTGGGTCCTTGAGGTGTGCAGCACAAGCTACTCCTACCGCTTAATTAAAAAAAAAATTTTTTAGAGACTTAAAAAAAAAGAACGAAGATAAGTTACGAAGCTTTTTGCAAACTCTAACGAGCCTTTAGGTTCGTGGAAGTTGCGAAGGTTCCTTATCCTTGGAGTGGCCAAGGGCCGAAGGTTTTGCGCTCACATGCTTCGCGCGTCAACTGGTTCGTTGAGAAAAAGTTGCTACGCAAGCAAAATACCCGAGCTTGCTTTGCACTGCTTCTCTAACGGCGCCGTCGATTCCCGTAGGGAGGACCGCTTCCCAAGAACCTACAAGGAATCGTTAGAACTGGTAAGCGCCCTACCGTGTTAGGAAGGAGTACGCAAGTAGCGCCTTCGGTTCCTAACGGAACCTTCTAGGTCGCGAAGCGTGCGAGCTTGCAAAGCAAGCGACGGAGCTTTAGGTTGAACCGCTTCTAATTGTTTTGTTAAAACGGGAAATCTGCTTCTTTTCCTTTTTTTTGCAAAGGCGCCCGTAGCTCAGTAGGATAGAGTAGCAAGCTACGAACTTGAAGGTCGGGAGTTCGAATCTCTCCGGGCGCGCGCTTGGGGCCTTATTTGCATTTGCAAAGTATCGATTTGTATTTCATTAATGTTTTGACTAGTATAAGTTCTTTTCTTTCGCATCTGTGAATAGATTACTTCAAAGCAAGAAGGTATGTTCAAAAATTGAAATAAGATTCAACATCGATTTTACTGAAATATTTGCTGGGCAGAATCTAATGACTTGATACTTTTTTACACCCCAGCCTCGCATCTTGAATTTCTTTGGATTCATACATTGAAACAAAGTTCTAGAATCTTTTCTGCGGGTATGCTTTGCAAGCCAGTTTTTTAACTAGTGCAAGCTCGCACGCTTTGCTAAATAATGTTGCCTGCTCGCACGCTTTGCGCCAACGCGCATAGTAACTCTAACGAGCCTCGCTTCGCGGAAGCGCCAGGAATTCACTCTAACGAGCCTTTCAAAAAAAAGAAAAAAAACTATGCAAAACAACCATACTGTTCAATTAAAATTTCAACTTCTAAAAAACACGGTCCTTGCTATCATCAAGAGCTTCCAGTTAGGCGTAACAAGTGCTTCTGCGCTATTTTGGAAAAGTCCTTTACGTGCTATTATCATTGTCTTATGGGAACTAGAGATTCTTTTTTTTAAATTTCAATTTGTGTCTTACACTCTTCTTTACTACTTTTTTATGAAAACCTACGTTGGTCGGATTCTTTTTTCCTTGGCTTTAATACCTTCTTATGGCCTTGTGGAACAGGATTTCCCCTGGCTTTTGATTTGCTATTACCTTTTCCTCTTTGAAGGTTATTTTATATACTTAATTTGCAAAATATTCCCGTCTTTTTATGATCTTCTAAAAGAACATTTTGGATGTAAATTTTTGAAAGTATTTGGAGACAACACGATTTTCAATAAAATTCGAGGTCATTTGGCTTTCTCTATAGCATATCCAGTTGTTCGGGCTCTCGACGAACGTCATAATGCTTCTCTGGTTAATGAGACATTTGATAAGCTTCATGAAAAGTTAAAAACAGCTTCGGACTGGGGTGGCACCAAGGAAGAGTTTTATGAGCTTCGGAGCGTGGCTAAAAAAGACGTGGGTCAGCCATTGCTTCATAAGTTAGAACAAACTATAGCCACGGGCGTCTTTCATGGAGTAGCGAAAGTGGCTGAAACTCTTTCAAAGAAAGACTCTGATAGGTAGAGTTCTTTAAGAGAAAGACTTGGCCGAGGCATTATCTTCTATACAAACTGGCGGCTAGTTAAACTGGCCGCCAGTTTTTTTTCTATTGAATCTGCTCATATGTTAATAAAATAACTCAAGCGGAGCTTGCAAAGCAAGCGACGAAAACCTAAGACGCAAGCACAGCTTGCTCCAACTAAGACGCAAGCACAGCTTGCTCCAAAAGGCTTGTAGCTTTCCTAGCAAGCAACAGGCGCCCTAACTTCCTAAGAACGACAAGCAAAGCTTGTCAACTCAGTTTACTTCGCTTGCAAGCAAAGCTTGCAAGCTTTGCTCGCTTAGTAACCAAGCGGAAGTTAACTAAGCTTGCCTACGAAAGAAGATTCACTTGCACGCTTTGCAAGTGAAGTTACCTGCTTTACTTGTGTGCTTAGTAAAGAAGCTATGCTTGCTTGTTTAGTTTAGAACCTTGCTTGGAACCTTTCTGTTTAAACTATTTCTAGTTAATTCATTTCTTTATTAAAATAGAATAATCCCCTATCGTGCTTGCTTTGCAAGCTTTGCTTGCTTACGAAATGAAATGCTTTATAAGTTTGCCTATTTTAAAAAGTTTTCTTCTAGCTTTTGCAAGTGAACTCTCCTACTTTAGCGGTATAACTAGATTGAAGATGTACAAAAAATCATTAGACATAAAGATATTAGAACAACTTATCTTTAGTTTAGAAACTTTGTAACCGAACGAGTATATTACGATGCGATGCAGGACTAAAACTAGGGGAATAATTGGGGATAGAGTTATTAGTCAAGAGAATTAGCCTCACAGTGATTTGAGTCAGAAAAATGCGTATCCGGTTCGTGCTGACGCCCTTTTGGGGAACTTTAGTTTTGTGACGTTTTGTACAATTTTTATGCGAATTGTACAGAATTGCATTTTGCTTGCAAAATCTTTTTTTTTTAAACATAGTTAAGTTACTTTAGTCTGTGCGAAAGACTCGAGCAACGGCACCTTTAGAGCTTTGGCTAAACTTCCTTTCAGGTTCGTTAGAATGAGCTTTGCTTGCGAAAAAGTTTGTATTCCTTTTATTTATATAAATAGTATTTTTCTTTCTACAATGACACCCTGCTCAATCTTTTATCCAACAGTCGTCATAAAAAAGAAAAAAAGTCAAACTAAAATTGAAAAACCTAGTAATGTAATAAAGTATGGGCGAAATTACCAAAAAAAAGACAATCATATTTTTTTTTTTTTTAAATTTTCTTTTATGTAGTCCGTCCCAAGCAACTTTTGCTTGGGATATAAAATCCGCAAACTAAAGCAAGCAACTGAAGTTAAGAGTTGCAAAGCTTGCTTTGCAAGCTTGTTTTCGAAGATGGTTTCCGTCAGGTTCGTCAGAATGAGCAAGCAAAGCGGGGTTGCGCAACCATGAAAAAAGCGAACTAACGTTGTGGTTCTTACGATGCTGCTTATGCCGATGCTAAAGGCAAGGTTCGAAGGACTTGCTTTGCAAGCTCGTGGCATTCCCCAGCTTACGGGCTCCGTCAGGTTCGAAGACCGTAAGCTTTGTTCTAACGAACCTTACGGAAACCTACGAAAGCAAAGCTTGCAATTTTGTTTCGCGAGCTTTGTGCACAACCATGACAGGCTCGGCGCCTTGGCGCGGATGTTCTAACGAACCTTTTCTTTCGCTTGCAAAGTAAGCTTTGTTCTAACGAGCCTTACGGAACCTAGCGGGGGGTGCTTCGCTTGTGCTTGTTCTAGCGAACCACGCTTGTCTTTTTTGCAAAGTAAGCGCTGCTAAACGGGGCAAACTTAGCGCTTGCGCTTTCCCAAAAGTCCACTAAGGTTCGAAGAGCGCAAGGCTCGCTAGAGGCTCGTCTATGTACCTCAACTTAGAGAGGGGCTTTAGGTCTTTATCCGCGCCTACCCCCCGCAAAGGGGCGCTTGCTCCTTTGCGACCTTGGGCCAAAGGTTCTCGAAGAGAAAGTTTCCCCTTTATGGCGAGCCTTTAGGTGCAAGAGGGCGCAAAGGAGCAAGCGCCTTGCTAACAGAACCTAAAGGCTCGCCAGAGTGTTAGCACTCTAACGACCCTTCGGAAGCAGCATAGAACAAAGACCGGTTCCAAAGGTGCGTAGAAAAGCACTTTGATGTCTATTTACTTGAACTAGTGAAGATTTATAGCATCATTTAAATAAATACAAATTAAAATAGTAAAAACGTAAGCTTGTAAGATGGCTACCCCAAGTTCCAATCCAGTTAAAGCGAAAACTATTAAAAAAGGTGCTAGATGCGCTAAATACATAATACCTCCCATAGAAAGCATAGTCCATGCAAATCCACTTAAAATCTTAACTAAACTATGACCTGCCATCATATTAGCAAACAAACGAATACCTAAGCTTAATGCACGGAAGCAATAAGAAATTAATTCCAAAAGAACTAAAAAGGGAGCTAAAGCTAAAGGTACTCCTTGAGGTAACAAGAAACTAAAAAAATGAAGTCCGTGTGTTTGAAATCCAACTATAGTTACACCTATAAATAAAGAAAAGGATAATCCTAAAGTTATAATAAAATGACTTGTAACTGTAAAACTATAAGGAATCATACCTATAAGATTACAAAACAATAGAAAGCTAAATGTTGCAAATATTAAAGGGAAAAAGCGTTGCTTTACTGAAGAAGGACCACTTATTTGTTCGTTCACTAAATTAAGTACAAAATCATAAAGAATTTCAAGAAAAGATTGCCAAGCATTCGGCACAAGAGTGCCTCCATTTAAAGTTACAAGGTAAAATAAAAGTAAAACAAAAGTCACTGTCAATAGCATGAATAAAGAAGAATTTGTAAATGAAAGATAAAAATTACCTATATGAAAAGGAATCAATGAAATAATAGCAAACTGCTCTAATGGGCTAAAAACCATACAAACTTTCTTTTTTTTTAAGGCGCGCACGCTAACGTTGCGGAGCAAGCGATTAGGTTTCTAAGAGCGAGCAAGCGACATGATGTGCGGCGCCCGGTGTCTACGCGGAAGCGTGCGCAGCACCCGCATTATTATGCGCTTGCTTTGCAAGCTTTCGCCTACCCGCTATCATGAGCGCATTTCGATGGCAAGCGTTCTACGAACCTTGCGGAACGCACCATGGAGACCTTGCCCCGTTAGTTTGCGCCAACTGGACGAAGCTTTTGTCTTTCGCGCCACACCTGAAGGTGCCTCTTGCGAGCCTTCGTGCGAACGGACATTTTTCTCTTTTATTTAATCCGGACATGAAAATGCGAACATTTTGACAATCTACTTCACTCCAGTAATAACATACATGAATTAAAAAGACAAGGTTAGGACTAGAATGAATAGCCACGAATTAATCGGGTATACTCGTAGGAGTCATACGTGTGTCTTGTTCAGTTGTGATTTTTAGTTTTTTTACTCTAACGAGCGCTACGCGCCTTCGTTCTCTTTGCAAGCCTGTTTTTGCTAAAGATCCGGCGCTTGCTTTGCAAGCTCGCACGCTTCGCGACCTAGAAGTCGCATTTATGCGACCCTTCTAAGGAGCAGAGAGGATACGTAGGAGTAGCAGCAAGGTTAAAGAGTTGCCTAATGGCAACCTCCGAAGGCCCCCGACAAGCAAAACTAAATAAAAAATTTAATAAACTCTGGCGAGCCTTTTTTAATTAAAATAACTACATTAACAAGCATTCTATCTTTCGATTCTAAAATTTTAGACTCCATCGCAAGTAAAGCTTGCTCGCTCTGACGAGGCAAGCGCCCGCCCTTGCGGGCGCTCCTTACGGAAACATAACTTGCTTCGTTCTTCGAACGACTCAGTGGCCAAGGCGTTTCCTAAAGGTTCCATTAGGAACGGGTTACTTGGGGCCAAAGGTTCGCAGAACGCTTGCTTCGCAAGCTCGGGTCATAAAAAACTTGCTACGTAAGGAAGTCCTGGTTCGAAGAACGCACCTTAGGTGCGCATCACGAAAACCCGTTCTTCGAAACCTAGCCGGAGCCTTCAAAAGAAAAGGTACGCAGGTGCGCAGTAACTATCCCTTACGGGATTTGAACCCGTGTCTGCGCCATGAAAAAGCGATGTCCTAACCCCTAGACGAAAGGGACTTACAAAAAGAATTTAACTTATCTTCGGAATGTCTGGGTTCAAGATTCTCTTCAAATTTAGTACTAACTAATTGTAAAAAAAACAAACTGTGCCACTGCGTATTTTGCTTTAAGTTATTACTTCAAAATAATTGTGAAACTGTATTATCATCTGAAATTCCGGACAGAGAGGGATTCGAACCCCCGGTATCGATTTTCGATACTTCAGTTTTCAAGACTGATACCTTAAACCACTCAGACATCTATCCACTTATAAAAAACTTTTCTTTTTATAAAAACTTTATCTATTTTCAAGAAAACAATATATTTTATGTCTACACTTTCATGTCTGCACCGTTCCTTTGGCCTCCGCTGCAAACCATGCGAAACATGTGAGTAAGCTAGAGACAAGGCAGAGCGAGCAAGCAAAGCTTGCTCGCTCTGACGAAGCAATAAAAGGTGCCTCAAGTTCCGAAGAACGGGGGATGCTTCGCTTCCGCTCGCATCGAAGGTTCCGTTAGGTTCGTAAGAATGAGCAAGCTTTGCTTGCGAAACGGACGAGCGTAAGACAAGCAATCCCCGAAGGCGGGGAGCTGTGAGCAAGCAAAGGTTGGGAAACAAAAAAGCTTTGCTTGCGAAGGACGCGAAGTGTGCGAGCGAGCGACATTTAATTTGCGCGAAGGACGCGAAGTGTGCGAGCGAAGCTCGCGAAGGAGGCCTCCGGTGCAACTTCTGCGAAAGCATACTAATGGCACTTGCGCAAGATGCTTCGCATCATAATAATGCGGAGCATTTCGCATTTTCGCGCTGCATCATAATGCATGCAAAAGATTCCGAGCTTGTGAAAGATGCGAAGCATGATAATAATGCATTATTATGCTAAGAAAGACATTCTTATATTTTGAACAAGACAATCTAAAGAACTTCCTCTCAATCGGGCCCAATGGGCCCGATTCACTTAAACTGTTTCTTTAATAGCTGGAATTTCTTCAAATGTATGAAACGCCGGAGGACTTTGGACCATCCACTCTAAAGTAGTAGCTTCTTCTTCTGATGCCCAAGGATTCGCAGCACACTTGTTATCGCTTGTCAAAGTGAAATAAACCACAGCAAAGAAAACAAGAATACCTATAACAGACACATAAGAACCATAACTACTAATAGCATTCCATCCAGCAAAAGCATCTGGATAGTCAGGGATGCGACGAGGCATTCCTGAAAGACCTAGAAAGTGCATTGGGAAAAAAGTCAAATTGACACCAATAAAAGTAATCCAAAAATGAATTTGACCTAAAGTTTCTGGATATTGAAGTCCAGTAATTTTGCCTATCCAGTAATAGAAACCAGCAAATAAAGCAAAGACTGCACCCATAGATAACACATAGTGAAAATGCTCAAAGTGGACTATATCTTTATCTAACAATCTGTTTGCCGAGCAACCATAGAAGCCGGAAGGCATAAATATTTCACAAATGGAGTTTTAGTCCAAGAAGGATTAAGATGTTGAATAAAATTTAATACAAAGTTAGAATAAATTCCAAATTCTGCACTATCAAAAGGTGCGGAGCAAAATTGTCTAATTTCGAAAAAAGGTTTTATTTTAGAAACCCGATAAAATTTCAAATCACTGTATAATCTATTTTTCATAAAATAATCATATACAGGTATCATACCACTTACAGATTGAAATCTAAAAGCAATAGATTTGAAAATTTTCTCTGGATTAGCTTTAGTTTGTTGATTTTTCTTTTTTAGTAATAAGACATTTGGTTTTGTGTTTGGAATTACCCAATTTAAATTGAATTTAGAAGAATATTCATTATATTTTAACTCTAAATTACATTCTATTCTATTACAGCTATAATTCAATACAATAGATCCATCAGTATCGACTAACCCAGCAAAATAAGGGTCTAAAGGCGCAATAGAATAATCAGCTGGAAGAAAATTAATATTGTTAATTTCACAAACTTTTTGAAAAGATAAAACTTTTAATCTTATTTTTCCATTTATTCTATATATTATCTTGAGAAGATCTTCTCTATTGGAAAGAATATATATAGAATGTGGTTTGTTTTTTACACTTCTAATTTTTCCTATATGTAAATAATTTTGAATTCGGGTTAAAATACGAATATCCCTATTGTGTAATTTTCTTCTTAAAGATTTGAACTTATTATCTTTTTGAATATCAAAATTACCATCTCCATCAATAATCCCGGCTAACCAATTGTTAAAATAATCCTCTTCTTTGTTAGATAATTGGCGTATAGTCTCTGAAGATCTAGTAAAATTTCTTGCTGATTGTAATAAGGTTCGAAGAATTTCAATTTATTATTATTTTCACTTAAAATTCTATATCTATATATTTGAAAGAAAAATAGACATAGTCTATAAAATAACTATTTGGTAATAGTTCACATAGGCACGCAAATGAGCAAGAAGCTAGTGCCATAATAAGACTTGATAAGTAAATAATAAATTTTTCTCTTATGAGAAATTATTAGTTTCCAGCATACAGCCAATTACACACTAAAAATCACTCTTTAGTAGGCCCATTTTGAGCTACAACATAGTAAGTCAATTTATCACAATTTACATTGTGGATTGGACTATATCTTATCTAATCATTTAACTGAATAAACTTTCGATTGTCGCGTATAGTCTCTACGGATCCCCTTCTTGCTTGTTGCTCCTTACATGTTCTTGCATCCGTTTTCGCAGCCCAAGGGTTTCCACGGTATTGACTTTGATTTAAAAGCTTTTACCGTTAGCAAAACAATTCATCTAATCTGAATTGTCTTACCGAAAAAGATAAATAATTTATTATTATTTATTCATTTTCATAGCGACAAGACAACATGACACTTATTATAATGAATTTAATTTAGCTTCAAATTTCTTCAAATCTAATGATTTTTCTCCTAACAATGGATAAGTTTTACAATGATTTATAATAGCTAGGAGACTACTTCTTCTATAAATTTCTAAAATATAACTAAGATCATTAGTACTCGGTACTTCTCTAATTTTCTTTTGTGCTTGGAAGAAAGTTTTTATGCTTTCAAGTAATAAAAACTCATTATTTTGAGCAATACTAAAAGAGTTATTATTATTTGCACGAATAGAAAAACAAGCTTCTGCTTCAATAAAACCAGATAACCAAAAAGAATAATATGGAAGAGATAAATAATCAATATTAGGCTTAGAGATTAAATATTTAGAATCACGAGTTTCTAAATATTTATTTACATTCTTATGTATCATACAGTTAAGTAAAAACTGAAGTTGAGCATAAATACGAAATGTCAATGGTGGATAAAGTTCATAAATTTTTAAAATCTCTAAAATTTGCCTTTTATCATCTACCACCCAAATTACTGAATTTTTTTTTTCGTACCTCCTGACGGAGCCTCCTAAATGATATTGAATAGTTCCTAGCATTAAGAAATTTTGAAGAGTATTTTCAAGCTTAATGACAATTCTATATTGAAGATTTTGTTTTCTCCAATGATTAACTTGAAGAGAACCATCTCCATCCATTAAACCTACCCAAAATTGTTTAATAGAATCAGCAGAATATGAAGTAAATAAAGAAGAAAAAGAAATTAATTCTTGTCTATCATGTAAAGCAATATCAAGTCCTGAGTTAGCTAACATAACTCCAGTAACACCTCCAACAGTGAATAAGAAAATAAATCCTACAGCAAATAACATAGGTGTTTTTAACTCAATGGAACCGCCCCACATTGTGGCAATCCAACTAAAGATCTTGATTCCTGTAGGTACAGCAATAATCATAGTTGCAGCAGTAAAGTACGCACGTGTCAATTCAACCACTAATCTCTTAGTGGCATCGGACTTTCTCTTCAACCTAGAATACTCACTATATGCATGCTTAGCACAGTGGTGATACTAGGTGCCAGGCGTAAAGTCTCTGAGGCTCGCAAACACGAAGCGATCAGACAGCACAACAAACAAAAGGTTCCGTTCATGGTTGCGCTTCTTCGCAAGCAAAGAAAACAAGCGCAACCATGCCAAAAAAGCGCATAAGCGCGAAGCGGGCAGCCTTCGTATGTTCTAGTTAATTACATTCTCTGTCTGTAAAAGTAGCACGCGATATGTGATATATTCTCTCAATCCCCTCTGTGGTTAAATGCCCTTTTTGTTGAATAATTCCATAAACCTTTCGCCATTTCAAATAACTAATCAATTTAGTTGGCGCATTATAGTGAAAATGATCAAAATATTTAATAGCATTATAAGCTACTTGCAAGTTAGTGGAATTATACCGATAAATTTGAGTTTTTTTACAAAAAGAAATATTGCCGCCTTCTAGACTAGCTTGTAAGAGCAGTTGGATCTTTTTGTGATATTTTATACTCTAATCTTACACATTTGCCGCATTTATGGGTTTTACTGTTAACGATGCTAACATGAAAACAGCCGTTAGCATCTGTGAATCCAGCTAGCCAATGGTTAGTTAGGCACGAAGTGTATTCATTTATCGGTTTAATATTAATTTGAAAAATGGAATCATACTGATACTTTATCAATTGATTGATTTTGTTCGAACTTTGAAATTTACCATTAATCAAATTAACCACTTTTGCCAAGCCAGTCATATGTCGAAGAACATATTTAACGGCTTTTTTCTCTTTGATTTTATTTACTGTGCCAAATCCAATTGCCTTTTTGACAAAATAAGCATTAGTTATATCATTCTCATGAAAAAGTATTT